TAGAGGATACAAAACAATAATTAATTATTTCCTAATAAATGAAAATTAAAATCACAAATAAAAGATGTCCAAGTGTAGCGGGGATGTGATATAGGCTCTGATCAGTTCCTATTAATTAGCAAATTCAATCTCTGGAAAAGATGGAGGACTACAAAACGACAGAAGAACAATTCAGAAGTATATAAAGTACATCTTCTGCAAGAAGAAAGTATAAAATTGATGTATCATACCAGACTGCAGAATTACTTATTAGAAACTCTAACTGAGAATGATATAGAAATAGAATGTAATAATGTGCAAAACTGCATTGAAAGGGCAGCAAGAGAAGCAATAGACAGAAAGAAGAAAATAAGAAGTAAAAAAGGTCTGAAAATTTGGAATAGTGAGATTGAAAACCTAGTAAGAAACAAACAAAAAGCTTATCTTCAGCACCTACAACAAAATACTGAAGAGAGTAAAGAAAGATACAAGGAAAAGCTCAACCTAGCAAAAAATTATATTCGACAAGCTCAACAACAAGCACGGGATACATTTATAAGCCAAACAGAAAGTGATATACACGAAGACAGAATTTTGCTTAGAAAAATTCTTAAACAACTTAACAAAGAAGAAAAAGATACAGCGAGAATAGATGTAATTAATTGGAAAGACTTGATTAAGCACTATAGAAATGTATGGTATAACGAAAATGAAGCACAACATGAAACATGTGAAGTGGTATGCAGTGAAGTCAATCCCATAACAATAATTGAGATCCAAGAGGCTTTGAAAGAACATAAAAATAGGAAAGCAACTGGAACAGACAACCTAAACACAGAATTATAAAAATATGGCGGGATGGTGCTCCACTGGCGACTTCAACACATTGTAAATTCCTGTTGGCAAACTAATAACATACCAGAATCATGGAAAACGGCTAAAGTAATATCCATATTTAAAAAAGGAGATTGAAAAGATTGTAATAATTATAGAGGAATCAGTATCTTAAATGCAGTATACAAGCTGTACGCTAGAATACTAAATAAAAGATTAAAATGTATCTCAGAAATTCTTATTGGTGAAGAACAGAATGGTTTTAGAAAAGGGAGATCGACTACAGACAACATATTTATACTGCAATAAATAATAGAAAAAAGAAAGGAATTCAACCAACAGACACACATAGCTATCATAGATTTTGTAAAAGCCTTCGATAACGTAAATAGAGTGAAACTCTGGTCTATAATAAAAATAATGGATATCCTCAAAAGTTAGTAGAAGTAATAAAGGGCTTGTATAAAGATTCTACTATTGTTATAAAAGTAAGAACAAATGAAACTGATAAAATATTGATAAACAGAGGAGTACGGCAAGGCTGCCCAGTATCACAGACACTTTTTAATATTTATATCGATGACATTATCCAAAATTGGAAGAAAATATTTTACAAAGATATTAAGATATCAAAAGAAAATATTTTAAATATCTTACTCTATGCAGACAATGCTTTGATATTCCAGGAAACAGAAGATGATTTACAATATACATTATTCCACTTAAATAATTTTTGTTAAAAAATACGATGTTGAAATATCAAAAAAACAAAAAAAACAAACAAAGGAGATGGCATTTTGGGGAAAACATTTAATAAGATCAAAAATTATTTTGGACAAAAAAATCTTAGAACAAATTTCCAATTTCAATTACTTAGGTTGTCAAGTCGATCAAGATACCAATAAAGATATCAACATTAAATTGGCAAAGTTTCAAAGGATTTGTGATACTATACATAACACACTAAAAAACAAGACAAGACACAAGAATAAAGTTTTATAAGACCATGGCTCTTCTATATGGAAGCGAAAGCTGGGTACCAACAAAAAAAATTTTAAGCAGAATCCAGGCCGCTGAAATGAAGTTTTTGAGAACGCTAGGCTGCACGAAAGAAGATTATATTCGTAATGAGAAGATAAGAGAAAAATTAAATGCTGAAGAAATTGGAAGCAAAATAAATAAATATCGAGATAATTGGTATCAACACACATACAAACGATGGATGACTCAAGACTACCTAAATTAGCTTTACTCTACCAACCGCTTGGAAGGAGAGACATTGGAAGACCCAAAACTTGATGGAAGGAAAACTTCTGAAGACGGAACAGGCTCAAGCCTAATCCATGAAGGGCAGAAGAAGACTAACAAAATAGCAACCCTCACCTCCAGCCCTACTTCTACCCCAACTAGCAAAAGGAGAGCTCAATGTGAACATTGTGAAGCTACATTTATATCCAAAGCAAAACATGAGGCCATCTCGGCATCTGCTCAATGGATCAAGGGAAGTGATGAAAAATCTAATTGAGATAAGAGTCATTGACCTAGAAGCAGGAGTAAATATAATACTAGTAAACAAAATGTTAACTAATGAATTAAATACCATTATTAAAATAAAATAATTTTCCTTTTTAATGTTCAGTAGTTTTTTATTACAGCCCGGAAGTTCAGGTATTTATTTTATCTAAAATAGGCAGGTAAAAAGCCATTTACTTTTACTAAAATAGGCACACAAAAAGACATTTATTGTTGCTAAAGTAGGTGTGAAAAAAGGCATATAAACAATGAAAAATCACATTTAAAAGGAATTATTTAAAAAAACGCATAATTAAAATAATTCACATTTTTATTGTAATTCTAAAATTAACATGTAGGGAATCAATAATTTCATTGTAATCTTGGTTCCACATGAGACATATCATTCAGTATGATGGCTAAGAATATTTTTTTACTCACAATGCTGTCTCTTTGAAATTATACTGTGGACTTCCTTTTGAATCTTACAAAGGCATCAGTGAATTATATTTTGTATTCTTCGTATGTGTGTAATCTATCACAACACTGAGAAGTGAAAATCATACACAGAGAGCCGTTCTCAAAAGGGATTGAAGATCATACTCAAAATTGAATGGGATTCCTTGTGAGCAAAAATACCCTGTTGGCATCAATAAAAAATATCAAAAATCTTGACTGGTATCATCTTCCATGTTTATTTAGATTTTTAATAGAGCTTATGCTTCCACAGAAAGACAAAACACGACTGTGTTTTTGTGTTCTCCAGGCTTGCAGGTATATGTCAGGCTTTATTAAGATCAGTAACAAGGGATGCAAAATAAAGAGGTAAAAGGCAGACAAAAGCAAAAATAAGTCAAAATGTCTAAAATTGGCATCAAACGCTAAAAGAGGCAACATTAAAATGTACTACACTCCACAAGTACACTTAAGTGATTCCTGTAGTTAAAAGTCATTAAAGAGGAAGAATAAGAAACATGCATTTTACGAAACATTCAGGCTCTTATAGTATAAAAACCATTAAGCAGCTGGAAAGATTTTAATTGCAAGTTAAACATGTGTACTGATTTTAATTCTTTAATGTCATTTGACAATGAATTGTAACGTAACACACATTGCTTATTATTTCTACATTTCTTGTACTAGTGAATCGTTGATGATTACACCTCATGAATGTAATTCTTATGACATGTATTATTATAAATATAGCTTGAAAATATGTTCCCACAAAGAGGTTTGCAGGAATTACATGGATGGCATTTGCTTATTATTTCAACAATTTTTCTGCAATCTTTAAAGTCAGGATGAGTTTCGCCAGAATAGTACGTGACGATGTAGTCCATTCGCAAAATACACACCATACACGCAACGCGTTGCATGAAGGCTGACAGTTTGATGAATCGAAATGTTATCTAATACGAATCCTACATTTTTATTTTTATATCCTATAAGCAACATTGTAAAGTTCACAAATTACCTATCTGATAGTTTTTACACATTTTGAAAACATTTCTTTAACACTTATAACGCAGTAATGAGAAATACTGATAAAATTAACATTTCACACTTTTATTTTCCAGTTACTTGCATTTAAATTTTGACGTCATATATTACTTACTTCTCTTTGATACAGTTCTGCCAGCAAGAAAAACATTTAGTGTTCATCACGATGCCAAATACTGAAAATTCTATATTCCATCACAATTCCAGCAGCTTACACGTAATAAATTAACTCATGGGACGTTAAAGGAAACCCAGTTTTTAATATTACGTATTAACAGAGTATTATTCCATGAAATAGATTTTCAATGTGTATGAGATGGCTTTAATGTTGGTTCCCCCTTACATTTAATTTCACCATCAGTTGTCTTCGAAGTTTTGTTTACGTGTTATGCAACATCATTGACATCGACACTTCAATAACATTTTCCTGTAGCACGATCTGTGAAGGACATGGCACAAAAGTGACAACTTTTCGCCACTTGCCTATCCTACAGATTTTGCGTTGTGTAAGCGGATAAGAGACATGCATTTATGTTTCGGAGGAAAGTGATGACGTACGTTTAATAGATTTTGTGCATCCAATTGAAGCATAAAGGACGGTTTTTGACGTGTTGACAAAGTAATCCAAGTAATTTTGTGCTTGTAGTGTTTGATATGTAATTTGTGAGCACATTCCAAAATCGTATAATCTAAGAAGCGTTTCTCCAGAAAGTATAAACTGCGGCCAGGTGGTTTTACTACAGTTTGTTAATTCCAGCAAGTACCTAATCATCAGCCAAAATGCCGCGTATTATGATAAAAGGTGGCGTTTGGAGAAATACCGAGGTATGTTAATATGTTGTATTTGGACCCTTTTAGTTTTGGGTAATTAGATGAGATATTAAAATGATCCATTTTTTCCCCTCCCAATACAGGATGAAATTCTAAAAGCAGCTGTAATGAAATATGGCAAAAATCAATGGTCACGAATTGCATCTCTTCTTCATCGAAAATCTGCCAAACAGTGCAAGGCTAGGTGGTATGAATGGTTAGATCCTAGTATCAAGAAAACAGAATGGAGCCGTGAAGAAGATGAGAAACTTCTTCATTTAGCAAAACTAATGCCAACACAGTGGCGAACAATTGCGCCAATTATTGGACGGACAGCTGCCCAATGTCTTGAAAGATACGAGTATCTTTTGTAAGTATATTTTTTCTAATTCCATGTTACCTTACAACAATATCCCTTATGTTATTTTTTTTTATTTTAGAGATCAAGCTCAAAAAAAAGAAGAAGGTGAAGATGCTGCTGATGATCCTCGTAAGTTGAAGCCTGGAGAAATTGATCCCAATCCAGAAACAAAACCAGCACGCCCAGATCCCAAAGATATGGATGAAGATGGTATGTATTTTGTCTGACTATGTTGAATGTATAATTTTTTGTGTTTAATCAATCTAAATTTTTTTGTGATATTTGTGTGTTTTATTGTTTTATGCAGAATTGGAAATGCTATCAGAAGCCCGTGCTCGACTTGCCAACACACAGGGAAAGAAAGCAAAACGTAAGGCACGTGAAAAACAGCTTGAAGAAGCAAGACGGTTAGCAGCTTTACAGGTGAAACAGAAGTTTATATTTGAACATTATATATATTTCAAGTATAATGTGTTTGGTTATTAATATGAAATTTAATTGACAGAAACGACGAGAACTTCGTGCTGCAGGTATAGAATTAGCTGCTCGAAAGAAGAAGAAGAGAGGTGTGGACTACAATGCTGAAATACCATTTGAGAAAAGGCCAGCCCCAGGTTTTTATGATACAAGCAAAGAGGAATTGGACACCTCTGCCCCTGATTTTGCTCGTTTACGACAACAACATTTAGATGGTGAACTTCGCACAGAAAAGGAAGAGGTAATACAAAGAACTCAATGCGTTGTGATAGTTGTACTAAATCCTAATCTATGATTATGGGTTAGAAAACTTAAAAATGATTCGAGTGTCCCTCTATTTTAATACTTCATGCTTTTGATAAAAACTGTTTCTCTTTCAGAGAGATCGGCGAAAGGACAAACAAAAATTAAAACAACGTAAAGAGAATGATATTCCAGTGGCAATGTTGCAAAATCAAGAACCAGCAAAAAAGAGAAGTAAATTGGTTTTACCTGAACCTCAAATATCAGATCAGGTAATGTCTTAACTTTTCTGCATGTTAATCTGTATGAATTGAAGCACTTGGTATTTAACAGCAGTAAGCCCCTTGATAAGCAAAAATTGACATGGTCTTTATCTGAAAATAAGAGGTTTATCGTCAGTATCTCAGTCAATAAAGTAAAGAGCTACATATATTTGCAGATTAACCTTAGTCAGTTATGATATATATTTTTACTCTGCCTTTCCATGCCGGGAAAATCAAATACTAATACTGCAAAGGCAATAATTTAAAGGCTATCTATAATAATTATATTTGCGGGCATATTGTTGGCATCTGTGTATTTGCCAGGCAATGCAGACAGATTTTCAAGCAAGTAAAGAGAGACTAAAGGCGTGTTTTACCACATCCGCTTAAGATTGTAAAGCGAGACTTTAGCAGAAATAAACAAGCTTGGGTCAACATGGCATTTCACCATAATTAGTAAGCATTGCTTAGCATTAAGCTACGTACACAAGCGCTCGCCAGATGATTGCTTAAGGGACTTAAGCTGGCTTAAGGAGACCAAAGGAACATGGCAGAGAGGGTATGTGCTATTTGCATTCAGTTATGACGAATATGTTTTGAATATAGAATTTCTCCACCTAGGCAAACTTAAATGGATCTGAGAGGGCTAACATCTTTGAAGTCAAATGAAATTAATTTTTGAACTCACTTTCAGCTTTTGCCTTTCAAAGAGATCAATGTTATTAGTGTTGGAGTAGATTGAAGAAAAACTAAAATTTATATCTGACAGATATGTAGTGTAGCCTAATTGTAACTACATAGCAGAGAACTGTTCCCGTAGTACATCTTGCAGTAGTAAAAAGGTAACATTTGTAATTTAGTTTAAGGTCATGATAGGCTTGTATCAAAATAGTATTTCAATTTTAAATACAGAACGAATTTGAGCACATTGAAATTCTTGTCATAATCCTGTTAGTTTGAGTTACTTACATTACCAAAATTGCATTTTGTATTTACAGGTTATTTATGAATTCAATACATCCGTAATGATTATGAAAAAATTAGACTTTGCACAAAACTGTGAGTCTGTTTTATTTCATTTGAAAATGTTTCAATTCATTATCTAACTTTCAGGACCAATTGTTCAATTAGCTATTTTGTAATGTAATATGATTATTCTTTTTATAAATAATAAATCTAGGACATTCCTTTCAACATAAGTGTTATTGTTTATATCGCATAACACAAAATTAATAACGATCATAAAATAATTTGATAGAATAAACAATGAACAAAAATAAAAAATGCACACACTATCCGCAAACTATAAGGACTGAACTAAATGATGGTGGTCCATGAAATAGTATAAACAACTTCAAAGCATGGAAACAACAGTGTCAAAATACATCAAGAACCTTAATGTGTTTACTTTCTAGCATTGCCAACATTAGCGGAAGACACACGAAACCCGTTTAGCTAAGCCGTGCCCCTAGATAGCCTCGAGGGGACTGGTTAAAGGCGTGCCTTAAGTTCGCTTAAATTTAGGACTTAAATTTTGAGCCAGCTTAACAAAGTAGCGCTAAACAAAATATTGGTGAAACCGGCTCTGAATGGCATTGTTTTGTAGTATTGTTATAGTAAATTAAACACAACAAGATAATGAATTAAAATATCCTCATTGATATACAATGTGCCGATTGACAAGGCCACACAAACACTCAGTTAGACACCCAGCATGTACAAATCTGTTTTACAAGAGTTTTTAAATGAAAAAAAAATTGCTTTGGTAGAGTCTGCGTTCTACAATTAACTAAAGACACTGAATGTTTCAATAAAAAAATGAGAGTATTGCCTGGGCTAAGTTTTCACATTCTCATCAACCAGATAATTTTCTAGTCAGGCAGATAATTAGCAATTTTATTTTTACATATTAATAAGAATTACATTTTTAAAAAAACAGGAGAATATTCACTTGTGTTTTTATTCTAAAACTTCATTCCAAAGTCTGTGTTACTTTTGAAAGAAAGATTGTTTATGTTCCTTTCATGCAATAAAACTGAGACTTGTTTCAAATGAACTCGCATTACGCAATGTTTATTAAAGTTTCAATGATATAAGTAAATGATAATGTGGAAGTTATTCTAATTGAATAAATATGCTTCAAGGAACTTCAACAAGTAGTTAAACTCGGTCGAGCCAGTGAAGCTGCTAGGGAAGTGGCTACAGAAGGTGGTCAACAAGCATCTGATGCTTTAATCGCTGATTACTCCCTGACCCCCGCGGGTGCTACTAGGACACCCCGCACACCTGCTCCAACGACAGACAGAGTATTGCAGGAAGCACAGAATATGATGGCCTTGACGCATGTTGACACTCCTTTGAAGGGTGGCCTGAACACTCCCCTGCAAAGTTCTGATTTTAGTGGAATTACTCCACAAAGGGAGGTGGTTCAAACTCCAAATACTGTATTGGCCACTCCTTTCCGAAGTCAGCGAAGTGATGGTAAGTAGGTTTGGATTCATAATTCTCTTTTATTGTAGCTGCAGATTAAGTTTTTCAGTTGTGGTGGCCTGATATAGAAAATTATATTTATGTTTAAAATCTTACTGTAGGACGCACCCCTGGTTCAGTTGCGGGATTTAATACTCCACGATCTGAAGTTGGGACTACAAGTAGTAGACATAATCCCACCCCTATTAGAGACAAGTTGAGCATTAATCCTGAAGAGGGCTTGGATGTTGGTGATACACCACAAGCTTTCAACAATTATCAGCGTCAGGTAGACAATTGACTTTTATTTAAATCTTGAAATTAGAGCTCTCATCATATCTTAAAGAGTCTGTTTAAACAGTTGAAGGAGCAGCTGCGTCAAGGCCTGAGTAGTTTGCCAGCTCCAAGGAATGACTATGAAATAGTTGTTCCTGAAGAGGAGGAATCTGAGCCAGTTCCTGAAGCTGGGAACTCTGTTGAAGACCAAGCAGATGTAGATGCCAGGTTTGCTGCTGAACTTCGTGCCAAAAGTAAGTGAACTCTACAATCAAATTGCATCTGTTTTAGTTCATTAGGCCTTCAATATCAATTTGTTGATTGCAGAGGAACAAGAACTTCGCAGCCGATCCCAAGTTGTTCAGAGAGAGCTTCCTCGACCAGTAGATATCAACATGGCTGTTTTACGTCCTCCACACACAGATCCTCCTCTCACTGAACTTCAGAAGGTCTGTTAGTAAAATTGGTAGATGGTGTTCAGTCACACATTTAGTTGGGAGTGTAATGAGGAACTTGATTAATATTTTCTTGGATACAGCCAAATTTTTGCAGATCTTACCAGGTCTGGAGTCAAACTAAGTAATACCTTTATAGTTGCATGATTCTCAGGTTTTTTCAATTTACAACAAATGGAACAAGAAGTGATAGATAAATGTTAAATGCAGATAACATGAATGTATCATCTCTCTATGCTTAGTATCTCTATAAGTTAATATCTTTGTTCTTATGTTCAAGCAAGTAAATGTTATTTCAGTTTTGTTTTCCTTTTTTGTCCAGGCTGAGGAGCTTATTAAGAAGTGAAATGAAAAACAATGTTACATTATGATTCTGTTTTATTCACCTGTTGACCCGAGGTTAAAAGACGAAAAACAAGCTGCCCACTCAAGCTCAGCATTTGGCTTACCTTGAGCAACCCCATACATGACAATTCACCACTAGGAACAGCTGGATCAGGTAATGTATCTTAACCTTGGATGTTAATAGTAAGAGGCTTAAAGAAACTTTACCTTAAGAGTTCAGTAACGGAATACATTATAGACCCCTAAAAATAATATATAAGATTTATTGTTCACTCTTTTTTAACTTGTGTCAATTGAATAACAACAGCATTGTTTATAAACGAAACCATAACATGTTAAGGTTATGCAAATGTACCTCCCTTAGACATCCAAGGGTTTGAGCATCTCTGATAACAATTTCCACTGTAATTTGTGTGTGATGGTAAGAGTAACTTTATTGGTTACAGTCCTCGCGGAACTTCTTGAAACAAAGAAATGGGAAGTAAAGTGAAACAAGGATGGGTCTTGGGAAAGGGGAGGGGGGGAGTTTGATCACTAGAATCCTACAACCCAAGGTATGGGAAGAATGTTCTTGCTCAGGTAAAATGCATTCAACACAGTTAGCTTACAAGAAAATGTTGGCTTCCTATTGTGATCCGCATTGGTACCAATTTTGTATTTTATCAATTTGTTTGGTTTGGAATAAAGTTTATGTGAACATTTTATATGACTCCAGTGTTTTTTTATGAATAATTCTTTTGGGGGAGGGAGGGATAAACTAATATGCTAATGTCAATGAGACAATGAAACCATTTGAAGTGACTGATGACTTTTTTTTTCTTTTTTTTTTTTTTTTTCATAAGAGTTGTCCTCTAATTTGAAATCACATTGTTTTGAAATTTGTTTGTTCATAACAGGTTTTAATTTTTGCCAAATCAAAACCGTTAACACCTCGAGCAAATCTTGCCAGCAAAAATGGATAGGCTTGAGTCTTCTTGAAAAGAGGCTTGAACAAAACAGAGGACACATGACTAGAGAAGCGAAAGGGCTGCAAAGATGGAGAAGAAAACCTGAAAAATCCTTACTGGAGGGTTACCGAGGTATGCTCAAGCATTTATATAAGTATGTCATCTCCAAATTCCTGATGATAGGTGTTCAATATGGTAAGAACTCTACAGGATGCATGAAGTTTATTACAGTTCTTAAACTTGCTTTTGTTTCCAGTCACGTGCTCAAAGCTTCTGATTAAACAACTTCATGATTTTTGCGAGCAACTTGAACAATCACACCTAGATTGTCTACCTTTAAGTTCCTGCAGCAACAAGAAATGCTGCTATTCGAGGAGAATGGAGGTATTTTGTCAGATTTTATTGAAAAATAATATAATTTTGATTGTAATGTTAGGTGCCCTATTTTAAAGATGGAACTAAATTATTTTTGATTCATACAATTTATAGTTTTACGATTGCAATATTTCTTTAGTCACTGAACAGAAGATGTTAACGCGTCAACAGAACGAGGAGAAAGCAAACTCCAGAAGAAGTTTGGGGAAACTTCAGCTCACTCTAGAACAAGTTTGCAACTTCAACAACAACCAATCTAAACTCTTAGTGAAATTTCTTTGTACATTTATGAATTCCTTTAAAAATAATGTTTCACTAATGTTTATTCATAGAAGACGTCTGATTTACAGATGGAAGCAATGCCATTGTGACTTAATTATGAAAGAAATGCCTTTTAATCTTGGCATGAACTGAAATAAATATATTAGATTTAAAAGGTTAAGAAATGAAATTACATCTGTTCGAATCCCTTCACATCTTAACTTCAATGGTTTTGCCTACTTTTATGGAGCGAGTTAGTTTGAAAGTCATCAATGAAGCAACAGTAGACGACAAGTGTGAGGTACACCTTTTGGATGTCTATTTTTTCACTATTCACCCTGGTCAAACTGTAGCAGGTTACCTTCATTTCCCATCAACTGGTTCAAAACTATTGAAGGAGTAAAATAAACATTGCTTGGACTCTTTGCTGAAAGTTTGCAAATAACATGCCAATTTGTTGTGAAAATAAAAAATATTTTGCCTCTGCTGATATCTGTAATAATGGATAGTAAGTTAATTAATAAGAGGATCACTATTAAATTTCAATAAAAAAACAGTTTAATTTCCATGTTACTCTGTCCATTGACTAACCCAAAATGAAATTGAAAAATTTTAATTTAAAAAGTAATCAGTTAAACCTGTTTTACGTTCTGCCATTTTACGTCATTTTTCATTGGTTACTGTCCAAAACCTTTATTTACAACTTGATAGTGCTTCCCATCTTTTTTCAATATTTTTACTTTCCTCAATCTATTACCATATAATACATAGTGCAGAAAAAGGTGGATAAATTTGATCCAAAAATGGAGTAAATTACTAACATGTGAAAAACAAAAGCCAATATCAATTTGAAGAAATCGCTGAACGGTTTGGAATGGACAAACAGACATTTTGCCATCGATTGTGTGGTTTCAAGGACCTACAAACAGATTCCGGGTCACTTCACAATGTTAGAAATTGTACTTTAACTATACATAGGAATATGATGGTTCACATTTTCATTACGCAGTGCCCATCAATAAGAGATTCCGCCATTTTCTGGTTGCACTACATTATACTTTCCATTATAAGAAGGGGCACGAAAGTAAACAGATAAATGAAATAATCATCTAACCTATTTGTTTTTTTCAACTTTCCTGTACTTTATACTCTCCTGCATTTACACTTTGTTTATCGGTCTCCTGAAAAAGTTTAAATGAAGGGGTTTTAACAATATCTTGCCATTTCATTAGCCGAAAAAAGAAAGTCATGAATTGTTTGATTAATTTTCGTTAGCTTGTTACAAGTGAAACTTTTATTTTTAGGGCAGTAATATCAAATGAAAATATAATTTTGAAAGTAAACAGTAAAGCTAAATGAAAATTCTTGTTTTTTAATAGAACTTGGCTACACTGTTTCAACATCCCTGAAGACAAATACATAAAACTTAAAATAACATGATCCACTATAAAAGTGATGTGCCTTAATCTTGCGAACAGTTAACATTCCAATTATGTTTTTAATTTTGTGATGCTTTCAATGTTTTTTATTATAAAATCAAAACACAAACTTGCTTCAAATTAGCAAGTGCCACACCTTTAAACATAAAAAACAAGGATTTTTAAAACCATGTGAATTGAATAGTGGAGAAAGACATTACTTTTGACAGTACCAAAAGAGAAAACAATCAACAAGTATTCCGAAAAGGTTGTAACAATACATAAATAAAATAAAAAATCATGTTGTAAGAATCAATCCATTTATAACAATTACCATTTTAGCTGTGAAATTTGTACTCCTGCTACTCCCAACTCCATATTAATGCAAAAGAGATTTCAATTAATAAAATCAGCAAAAGAACTTTCTTAAATGTAGTCAATCAAAATTGAATAGCTAAATAACAAGATCAGTAACATTATTTAACAGCAGTGACATGCTAATCTTTCCTCTTTGCTCATTGATTAATTCAAATTATATCTTTTCACCAGATTCAAATTTTTAATGTGTAAAATTAACTTTTGTGTTAATTATTAATCAAAAGTTACTTTTGCAATTGGTTGGTTATTAACATAATGGCCAAGCATAAGAATCCATAAAAATATACTAGCTTGTTATTGTATCACATATTTCAATAACAAATGTAAGTTCATGTACCATAATTCTTAAAATTAAGAATTGTAGGGATATGTTTTGTTAATTTTTCCAATCCAGTTCAACTGTAAACCTTTTTGTGGAAAAACAAATTAGCAAATGCACTTCTACTAAATCTATGCCACAAGACATACCATATTTCTGATTGAATAATTTTGGAAACACATTTAATTTGGTCAGATAAGTGAATGAGCTTGAAAGAAGTTTAGTTTCAGAATAGAAGAGAATTTAAAGATTAAAAGAACAATTCTTTGACATGTAAAATTGGTTCAAAAATAGAAAGTTTAGAAAAGAAGATAATGATGATAACAAAAACCACAAAAACTTTAAAATTAGTCCAAGAAATCATGGCCACTTGGCATAGGTTGTAAATTTGAAGTTTTTTCCGCCTTGAAATTCTATAAAGTAAAGTAAGTATTGAAAACAAAAGTGCAGTCCTATACACATGAGATTAATTTTATGTAAATAGAAAGATTAAATTAATTAAAGTTGAAAACGAAAAAGTTCCAAGGATATAAACAAGAAGTGAAAAACTGAAATTAATGAAGGCTGCAGGAAACATTATTTTCTCCTTTGATCTATTATTCAGAACAGTAGATCAAACTGCCTCACTTTTTAGCAATATCCTTGCCACTCTTCTCCAAAAAAGATGCAAATAAGTGGCAATATTTTTAATATTACATTAATTTTTTTTTTCCCCCTTCCTTTTTTCAAAAAGAGGGGAAAACAAAACGCCATACATACTATTAAGCACTTCGACAAAACAACTTATTTGAATAAGTTTAATGTTTTTTTATTTTCAAAAGCTTTGGCTTAAAAAGATGGCATAATTGGTATCAACACTGAAAACAAACTAATCTTTGAGAAGAAAAGTGTCTACAAATATTTATCAGAAACGATCAAGAAAGGCATCACTTACTTTTGAAACTCACACAGTATGAGGCCAAGAATGAAACATTGGGGCTCTTGACTGCGCTAATAATGAGAAAATAGAAGCAAGGTAAAAGGAAACCAAATGATAGAGAATCGTTCAAGGCCTCAGCTTAAGTATATAAATAAGGGTAACAGCGACAAATTACTACAAATTATTGAAAATCATAACTGAAGTCCATAAAACATATTAAGAGTGACAGCCAATTTACCAATGAACACGAAAAAGTCTTTGGATACAACAGAATAAGGACAAATACAGACATCATGATAAAGAATTATGGAAAAACCTAGTACAAGAAACGAGGGCAAAAAATGCATTACTGGAATAAACTTAAAGTCTTTACAACCACAATCTTTAAACAGGAAAGCTAAATGAAGCCCAGATAAACCAAAACAATAGGCCATAAGTACATAAATGAAGTAGCAAGAATGAATACGATAATTGAGTAGAAATAATTCTAGATATAAGGCAGCAAATGTAAAAAAGAGGAATTATAGGGTGAAGTTCAGCTGGAATCAATTAGATCTGAGCTCCCAGGAGACAAGAGTATCCAGGATGTTGCCCCACACTCCACTTTCGCCCCTACAGAATCTTATAAAGAAAGGAAATAATCAACATACTGGCTATCTATTTCTACATTACAGACAAAGTAAATTATCTCAATAAGAAGTAAATGTCCATACACAAACCTGGTTTTACAGAACACGAGCGACTTATAAACCATTTATGAGACCTCTTCATTCAAAATGAACACATCAATTAATTTAGCATATGTTGAATATAATTTTCACAACTCACAAACTAGTTAAAAGTAAAATAATAGAAGGAATCTTTCAGGATACTCTCTGGATGCTATTTGCATAATTTATGCATATGTAGATTAGATAAGTAAATGAAAGTAGAATATAAATTCAGTGAATAAACATGCCAGCAAATGCAAAAACAATTCACACATGCATTACAATAACTTGGATTAATATACAAAAATGTATAATAAATGTTATGTTTGTATATTTAATAACACAAAATATGTAAATAAATGATAAATTGTATTGTTTTTTGTACTGAAAACATTGCCATTAATGAAATAAAAGCTACCATATTTTTCTAAAACCAAAATGTAAGAACAAAGAAGTCCACATCTAACCTTGAGCCTTTTGTTTTTTGATTTTTACTGTTCATCAAGGGTTTTAAAACCTCAAGTTTTTAAGGATGTACTTGTTAAGATAGATTAAAAATTTATTCAGAAATTCTGTTCAAAGTTCAATCATCTACATGGAAAACTGGCAATGTGGCCTCACCCAGACAAAGATAATGCCGAGAACTAGCCAAGACATGGGAGGGATCGATTAGTCAATTGAGCACAAAGATGCAATGCAACTAATTCCGATGGTAGAGTGAGCGTATCATGGGGCATCTTTTTGGCGATATGGTTAAACATAAAACACAGAACAAGGACAGTTAAAATCAACATTTATGACCAAGCATGTGCGGAGCCCCTTATATTTTATTTTTAATTTTCAAAGAGGTCATTTCTCAAGATCTCAGGGCAAAATCTGGTTCTGAAGAACCTTAAAAAACTGATTTTTGCCAATGAATCAACTTCAAAGAAAATGCATCAATTAAAAGTAAAACAATGGTCCCTTTTAAATTGTAAACAATATTCATTTTTATATGTTTTTAAAATATTTTTCATCATAACAAATGAGTAATTCTAATAATTTTTCATTTTAATACAAATTAATGTGTAAATTTAGGAAATCACAACTTCTTTGTTCGCAAAATTAAAAAATCCTTGAAACTTCCAAATAAATTTCAAGTTCTTTAAAAGTTCAATAGATACATTTTGTTTTTTGTAAATTTATTACTGATTTTTTTTTTAATTTCATAATATAATGTTTTTTGGTAAATTAAAATTGAAAAGGTTCTTTGGTGAAACAATTCCAAAGTACATTCAATAGAATTCTCTGAAATAGAAAGAACTGAAACTGAATAGAATTCAATAGAAAAGTCTGTATTAAGGTAATTCGCTGATGAATAGTTTGCTCTCAAACATTATTGAAACTTAAACAATAAAAATCAAAATAAAAAAAATATAAAATGCAAAATAAATAAAATTTAGCGTCAAATAAAATGCAGTTCTTAAAAACAATTACAGAAAAGTAATGCATTGCAATAACAGGTATAATAAAAATCTTACTAACAGCCTTAATTATTCTATTACTAAAAAACGACTGTCTCTCTAAAAGAGGTACCTGCAGAAGCAGCAAATATATAATTTTCGTTGGCACCATAAATAATATTTTAGTGAGTATCTGAAGTGAAGGGAATGTAATCAACAAATCATAAACTTCCATGAACAAGTACAGCTACACATTCCATATGAAAAGCAAAGTGTAAGAGAAGCCATATTTAGTTACACCGTTAGCCAACCTTTTGAAAATTCTTAACCAAAGCATTTACAAACATTACTTCCACGATAATAGCAACATTTGGATCTTTTTCCCCAAAACTGTTCTTCTAACTGCTGACTGCTTAAAGCCCTTGTGCAGCAAGCAATTTCATCCAATGACTGCTGACCAGTAAAAAATGGCGATGTTGGACTTAATCCTCCAGCATTGTTTATGACTAAGTATCTGAAAGATACAGCTGGATACTGTAAAGTAAAGAAAATTCTCTCAATAATTGAAGCAAAAATCAATGTGATTGTTTTAAAAATTAGATAAAACTCTACTTTATGAATTCGTCGAATCAACCTATCAAGTATACCAAATTGAACAAAGTTTTCCGTTCATGTTATCCTCAATGGATGAGGATTAAAACGAATGCATAGACCCTGATAGTTGTCCATATGTCCCATACAAGAAATACATTTTGAATATATCTTTAAGAGTGGAGGCTGTCTCACTGATACAGAATGAAATAATTAATGTCCAAAACAGAACAATACCATTTTCTTTAGAGCTAAAAAATCAAAAAAATGTAATCAGTAAATGATAATAAAAAATGTTTCCAAAACAAAATCAATTTACGCAAATTCTGTGCATTGCTGGCGAAGCACATAATTTCTTTAGAAATGTTCACCTGATTAAATCACATACAGTATAAAAAAGAAACAATTCATACAAGATTCATGCTATTTTCGATACTACCAGTTTAGCAACAATAAAGAGGAATTGCTACAGATTTTTTGACACATAACGATACACGCTATCCCTGCAAGTCCTTGTTCTCGCAAGATTTCTAGTTTGGTCACAGCATACACATTAGAATACTGGAATATTGGAATCATTGTTACTACTCCCATAGTACCTAAAAATTAAAAAATAATAATGAAAGAAAAAAATGTCTCAACCATTGAACTACTAAATAAAATAAACAAAATGATTTTCTTACACAAGTTTGTACACCAGGATTTCACAAGTTATTTCTACATCTGCTTCAGCAGCAATTCTTGCAACATGGTTCACTCCATCAATGTATGGAAGAATCTGAAATAATATTTTATATTATCTAACATCTTTTTCATGGTAGATCTTTGGTTACATAAATAACATATTCAGTACACTAGCTTGAAAAACTAATTCCTTCACTACTTTAAACCATTTCACTCTCCGCGTAAATTTGAAGGCTTTTTACCATTAATAAGAATCTATATGATCCAAATCAAATAATTGGTATCCAAATGTATTGAAAGATAGACAATAGTTGGATACATCAAAGAACAGATGACAAATGTAAATAGAACGATAGTTGGACAAGTGTACATATTGGAATGTGGATGTATTGATAAAACAGATGGAAATGGACATTCTAGAATAAAATGGAAAAGTAGATGTACTGAAATACAGTAGAGAAATATACGCATTTGTAGTTGGATGGTGAAATGGAGTTTGTTAGTGCCAGAACTGAATTATTCTTGAAAAAGTTGAAGTGAAGTGAACTGAGAGTTGGACAACGTAATGAAAACGAAAGGACTTTTGGTAATTGTATTCTTTCAGTTGCAAATTATTATGATTTAGTTTTGTTCTTGTTGTTGTTTATAGTATTAATTAATTCCAATGTTCTTTTTTATTTTTTTTATATTAGAAGCGGTTTTAAATTTAATAGTTTCAGCCAGTTGCCAACAATTCAAAAATTAACAGAAATCAAACAGCCCCTGAAAAAAATAAATGGATATTTTCAATTATTCTCCCCATTTAATTAATTAATGGAAAAATAAAAAGCATCAAAATCTAATTTAACCAATATTATTCACAAAAAAATCCCCTTATCTTCAAACTGCCAGTAATTGCAGGAAATGCTGAAAATAATTTTTAAAATTATGCAATTCAAAATTTTCTGATTTTTCTAAAGGGAAATACTAGCAAAATTTTAAAAAAAAAATTTTGAAAAAAAAAGTGCTTGTTTACGCTATCCAAGGACATAGTTTGAATCAAAAAATTTGAAAAATGTCCTTGAGGATTCATGTAATATATCCTCAACAAATTAAAACATCTGGTTGCAAACAAGGGTCAGCGAACATTAAAACTGATGGATTCGGGAATATCAATATTAGTGAAAATTCTGCTTACACAAGGCCTAGCGTTCTCACAGAGGACAGACGTTTAGTTGTAAACGCAACTTTTCGTAATCATGGATCCATAAAAGGTAATATCTGACAACACAACGTGATAGGAGTAAATTTACTACATATAGGAACAAGAATTATCCATTTTTTCAAATACCGACAAAGCAACTCAATGTGGAGCTTTTTTCGGTTGATTGGAATTGAATTGATTGATTGATTGCTGCTTAATTCCAGGCAGGTCAACTTGTGATGTCATTAGTCCATAAAAGTAATGCATTTTTATTTGCTTGGGCGGTGTCAAGTGGGCCTTTCCGCCATTGTACGGAGAGAATCCGGTGAATGACCTACCGTCGGCTAGCAGGGTTTTCAAATTCTTTATTTCATATTTACTTCAAATATATTTTAAATAATTTTCTAAAAGATTCTTTTGTGAACCTATACAAAAGCTCCAATGTAAGAAAATGAACTAAGAAAATATGAAATAATTAAACATTCCTAAACGTACATAGCCTCAAAACACCTCTAAAATTACAATCAAAATGGGCCAGATTTTCAGGGGCAAGTGAGTAATTTTCATGCCAAATTCTCCAAAAAATACTCATATTTCGAAAAATTCAACGTGAAATTTAAATCTTGAAAATCTGCTTTTGAATGAACATATGAACACATTCAATTAGGGAAAAAAAAAAAAAGTAATCTTCTAACCTGTTTTGTAGGAAGACAACCGAAAAAATGTTGAATGTTTTTCAAATCTCGAAAAAATCAGGGCTTTCAACCAACAATGAGATCTGCCACCATTTTCTTAAAACGTCTTTAAAACTATCCACCAAACAAAAATTTCATCAAAAACGTCGGAACCGTTTTTGGGAGAAAAAAAATGTTTAAAACAAAAATTGAAACTAGTGCCACAGAATGACATAGAACTTCCCGTATTATTTCTATTCTTTTGTCTCAGTTAGCTATTCGACTTGTCAGCATATTCCTTGCCCAATTGCCAATCTAATCGGCGCACAAAGATTTTGTTTTATTTTTATTTTTTACATTTTTCTTAATTTTTCAATTTTCCTAATTGTAGAGCCGGAAATATTATTTTTTAAGATTATTAAAAGAACAGTAACGAACCTCGTCTAAATGGCAATTTAAAAAAAAAATTGGAGTCTTTTTAAAAAAATGGCGTTTAGCGATATTGTAAACTTCCAAAAATTTGAAAGCTCTTTTTCATAGAAAATTTTTGAGTTTTCCAAAAAGTTTCAATTGAAAGTCATTTTAAGAAACTTTAACCTCACAATTACAATAGTGCTTACCAACTGCTGGAAATGTGCATATCAACGGCGTGAGAGATCTTTCAAAAAATTTACATTTGTGTAATATAAAAAAAGAAAAAAAATATACCGTAATTAACATAACGTCCTATTGAACAGTGTAATTACCCCTAATCCGTTCGAAATGTATGAGCAAAAATTCGAGCCTATTTTGAGAAATGGCGTATTAAGCGTTTTGCGGAAAAATGCGGAAGTTGAGCTAGTTTCACACACAAACAACGGTAGTTTTTCGAAAACCTTTAATGTGACAATTATTAATAGCACAATGTATCAAAGAATATAATAATGTGAACAAATCGCGCTAATGTAAAATATTACTGACGTGAGAGACAGTCAAAAAGAAGTTACATTTTTTGAATT